ATGGTAGGTTAAAATAACCAAACTGTTTCTATGGTTTTTGTTTTAATGTTTGTTATATTATAGTATTTGATTTATATAATTACAAAGGTTATCTTAGATAAGGGTTTATTACACCAAGTGACCAATCTAACACATTTCTAAAATTTTTTATTCTTCTACTGTACACAACTAAAAGAATTTTTAAAATGTTTAGATTGGGAACTTGGTGTAAGATAACCTTTGTAAATATAAATCAAATACTATAATATAATATAATATAATAGAAGGGTTGGAAGTACAAAATAATCTAATAATCTTAATCTTTGCTGCTGTTATTTTTTGCTCAAGCAATGTTGGACTAATCTGCTAGTTTTTGTTAATTTTTTTGTTATATAATTTTTCACTAGAAAAATTTTCTGTTCTGCAGTGTAAGACATTTCCAGTTATCAGGACATTGTTTAAGTAACACTAACTAGCTGATACTATACTTTGTTGGTGCCTGACTCGCTTGTTACACCAACAACTTGTGGTATCACCAAACTGCACACACATTATTCACAAGTTCTTTTGTTGGCCATACAGTATAAAAATATAGTGAATTACTGTATTTAGCTGTAGCATAAATGTATTTAAATTTATTAATAACTAATAAATTTAAAGTTCATTTATGTTAAATATTAAACAGTGATTAATATTGCATTGAATTTTGCAGATTTTTTTCAAATTTAAGAACATGGAATTAAAGTACAATTATATAATTGCTTCTTATAATTTTGATACAGCTTTGTGTGTATTGTGTACACATACTATGATATATTAATACAGTAGAACCCCTCTAGTCTGCCCTCGGCTAGTCCGTCACTCCGGTTAATCCGACCGTGGTCAGAGTCGAGAAACTTGTCCCGACTCGTCNAGCACAAAATATGTTTTAATTGGTTCTCAAGGGTTAAGTGGTTCTCCAGTTTAAATATTTGGTCATTTTTTTGCGAATTTTGATTCATTAGTAGATTACCATTTGATATTTGGCTGTGAATGGTTCAGTTACTCAGAATTAATATTCGGAAAAAATATATCTTAAAAAATTTAAGATTTGGTGTCTACTTAACCAGTGAATTTTTTGCAATTTTGCACCATCCAAGTGTCGCAATAAATATGAGAATGGTAGGTTAAAATAACCAAACTGTTTCTATGGTTTTTGTTTTAATGTTTGTTATATTATAGTATTTGATTTATATAATTACAAAGGTTATCTTAGATAAGGGTTTATTACACCAAGTGACCAATCTAACACATTTCTAAAATTTTTTATTCTTCTACTGTACNAATAAAGTCTACATCAGAGCAATGGCTCATTTTCTTAACATTCATATCAAGGAGCATTTTTATTTTATCCAAAAGAGTCTGCTGAACATAGCATTAGCATTTGCAATCAAAAATGGTGTACTTCTCAATGAAGCTAGTCTCATACACCTAATTAGGGACTGGACCAATCTGAAACATTTGGAGAAATTCAAATTTACAAAGCTATTATTTGGAACACTGCAATAAAGCATGGTGATCCATCTTTGAAGTACACCTATAATTTAAATCTTAAGTTTAAAAAATTTTTATAATATTTATTTGACATTATTGTTGATGTCCACATTTTCCACCAATGAACTAATTATTCCATTTTGTTTAAAGTGATGTTTGAATTTTCATATATGTTTAACTTCTTTTCAACTTGATGATATTTTTGCTTGTTTGTTTTTATTTAGTAAAGTGTATTATTTGCTGGATATTACTGTTGTTGTTTTGTTATTTGGTACTTTGTTAAATCCAATTTCAAATATTGCATAGTTAATGTCACACATCACCACAGATACTCCAAATTTTGTACAAGATGGGTGCGAAAGAATGTTATCTATTTGGTATTCGGCCTATTTTTCGCTATTCAGCCGAATACCGAATATTTAATCACTATTCAGCCGAATACAGAATACCTAAAAACATGAGTAATAAATAACAAAAACACAGTAAATTAATCATTTTGGTATTTAGATTTAATGTTGTTGGGTTAGTGTTGTTTGTATATATTTATTTATAACTTATAACATGCACAAAATTAAAAAAAATAATATTAGTCACATGTATTCACAATTTATAAGTACAAAGATCAGCACACGTACACACCTTATTCGTTCGAGAATCGTCGCACGCATCTGAGGGTCTGACCCTGCCTATCCTTTTTAATTGCTCGTCTTTGCTCTTTCCTTTCTCTTTCTTCCATCTCTCTAGTCCACATATGCCTATGCATACATCATAATATGCACTGACGATACTTTCGATTCGTCACTCTTCCGTCATAGTTTTTCTATTTTATAATTACGTGACTCATAGCCTGGTGATAATGGAGAAAAGAGACAGATACAATGTCGGTATAAGTCACAGTTATGATTTCACATATTCGAGACAGCTTGGTAGCTCGAACGGCCACAGGCTTTCACCCGTGCATTTTAAGTGACTTTCATTACAAGCATTTAGCTTTCCGAAGTCTATGACAACAATCATTTGGCATTGGCATTCACGCCAATAAGCTGCCTAGTTTGTTTCATTATGTTATCAACTCAATTTCATATTTATTTTCACATTTTCACTTTGCAGTCCTTCTCTGTTCGTCTTCCGTTATTTACACATGTAGGTCATTTCATTGTTATTCACATTTGATATCATCATTTATCACATACTGCCATGATGCTACCACGACGTCTGTCTTCTACAACTGTCAAGAATTAACGCAATTGGCAAAGCGTAGTGACAGTGGGCCAATAGAGAACAGGGTCCTTGCCATAATGCAATTTGCGCACCAATTTTCGTACGTGTGTTAATCAAGCCGAATAGTTTGGCCGAATATACTATTCGTTGCAACACTAATTAGTATAGATAAATGAAGGGGATGTTTGCTATACAATCCTAGGCTGTTCGACCAATTGCTATGAAACTACAATTACATTTTCTTACTTCTAACTTAGATTATGCCATACATTCCATCCCAAAATATCTATTTGATTTCTGTAAATCAATTAATTTCTATCTACATTCCATTTACTGATTTACATGTGGTGCCATCTATTGGCAAAAAGTTAACANATCTAGCACCTATAGAACCAGTGTAGTACAGGATTATTGAAAATGCTGAATTACTGGATGTTTTTGTAATTTTTCCAAAAACCAATAAGTTATATGAAATGTGAATGTTGCAAACATTGCTTTACATTTTGTAGCCAGTGCCGTCTTTAGGGCAGGGGCTACGGAGCCCTGGCCCAGGGCCCCCAGGCCATAGGGTCCTAATCCGAAAGTAATAAAGTTACAAATAAAAAAATAGGTTAATTAATACATATTAATATAATTACATTGAAAGTTAATTAAAATAAAAAAAATTATTAAAAATATCAAATACTTTATTTCTCCTATACATAGTTAAAAATGATCTTAAAACTAAGCAAACTTATAAAATTTTAGATGCTTCTTATTCACCACACCTTGGCCGAAAATGGTACTTTCTTTTTGCTGTGCGGAAAGAAAATTCCACTTCCTGGCCAAGGGAGGTGAAAAATTGCATATACTCCATGGGAGGAAACAAATAATGCATCCATAGGTCTGTAATATACTATTGTTTCTGTTTCATTAAGGGGCCCCATACGTTCTAAAGACTGCACTGTTTGTAACAGTGCACACTTCTGTATGCTTCTGACTTATTTATTCACACACTAATCAGATTGAAGATGATATAGTGTATTATTGTACTGTGTTAAGATTAATTGAAAAACTGCAAAAACATGAATGAACTTAAAATATATATGTAATTCTAAAAAGCTTCATAAAGGAAGGTACTTTAAAAAATAAAATTGCTGATTTTTTTAAGTCCTTTATTTATTTATAACAGAAGAGATATACTTATACTATACAAGAGTACTCAGTGTGTGCTACACTGATCATCTACCCCAACCTTAAAAATAACATCTTTCTCTCAAATTTCACACAAAGCCAGTGTTAATCATGTAAGTTGAGATAATTTACAGAGAGTCTTAAATTTAATTTTTGCATTTTTGAATCAAATAATAAAATACCAACAAATAAAGCATTTTCAGAATTTCAAGAGTATTTTACATCTTTAGAAAGAAGACAAAATGAAGAAATTAAACATATAATCATAGTTTTTGATGTAATGCTGATAGTTTCACAGTTTTAGAATAAAAACTCATTTGTTTTTATGTGACATAACTCGTTCATTTTTTTTAATGTGCCCTCTATAGAGGAATGTATAACCTCACTCAAACCGACATGCCTGTATTCCCTTGGGATAAACTGGCATGCCAGTTTTTATCATATGGAAATATCTGATTTCCTGGTTTTCCCTGGATAGACCTGCATGTCAATCATTCTGTGAAAATACAGTAGAATATCCTGTCATGGGCAAGCTTCTAGTTTTGATTTTAAGATTGTATTTACAGGATTCATAGGTGTTAGGAGATTTCGCTATGAGGCAAATTTTAAGAAAGAAAAAAGTTGAAGATGCAGATAAACATGATAAAATTAGTCAAAGATGCAGATAGTTTTTATTATATTGACTCCATGTGACTCCATATTGACTTATCTATGATGATCAAAGAGCATTATGTTTCAGCTACTAAAGGGATCTAGCTAACATCCCAATTTACTATTACAGTGGGCATTAGAATCAACAGTTCAAACAATGTGAAAAATCCCATTTTAATTATGGAAATTGACACTGTACTCTTAGCTTAGATTTATAGAGCAATTATATATTATATAATTTAGCATACTAAGTATACTAAAATAATTAACATTTTCTATGATATGTAGATTATTTTTGTTGTTTTAAAAAGGGCAGAATACAATTTTTGTTTGTATACTTAACAAATTTCGTTAATTTTTTCCAGTTATAAAAGATTTTAAATTCTATACAAAGAGCATTTAATTTATTATTTAATTAATAATAGTTTTCAAAATATCTTCAGAATTATTATTTAGAAGAAGAAGAATGTGAAGAAGCAGAAGAAGTTGAAGTGCCTAAAGCATTAGGAGATGTATTTGAATCAGTTGCTGGAGCGATATATCTTGATAGTGGGATGTCCTTAGATTGTGTATGGAGAGTATATTATGCAATGATGAAACCTGAAATTGGTATATTTATATATCTTTATTTTCAGATCTTTATAGTAAATATTAATTGTAGTCGATTATCACTCATGTCATGTAATATATATTTTAGAATTCTTCAGTACCCATGTTCCAAAATCTCCAATTAGAGAACTTCTTGAAATGGAACCACAAACAGCTAAATTTGAGTAAGTTTATATTTGAACTTTTTCCATAGAATAATAATGAAAAAAAAATAAATGTTATAATTAATTTTAATGAAATTATTATTTGAAAAGTCATTCTAAAATTACAAAGAACTGTCTTCTATGAGTAATAAGTGTATGAAACAGTTAAATTAAATAATATCCCAATTAAATAATAAACAGTTAAATTAAATAATAGGTTATCCACAAGAAATAATATACTATTATTTCTTGTGGATAACCTATGGGCTATCTGTTGATTTTAACTTGCAGCTATGAACTTCTCAATCAATTTTTCATTTGTTCAAACTTACAAAGAGCATCTTTAGAAAATTGAAAAATTTTTGTTCATGGTATATTTTCCAAAACTGTGAAAGACACATATACATACATTTCCTTTAGTTCTCATCTATTCATTTTCTGCATGTCAATCCATGCTTTAATTGACCTTATTAGAGACTCCTATTTAAACCTGTATCTTGAAAGCTGCAAAATTTGTAGTAACTCTTTACTGTATATATTGATGCCATTTCAAAGAAATGTTTAGAAACTGATTGTGAATTTAATCATTTGTTAGTCTTCCAACTAAAGATGAATTTTTATGGTCATTTTTGATGAGCAATTAGTCTCAATTGACAGTTAAGACACTGGATACAATAATTATCATTTTAATAAGCTCATTTGTTTTTTTCATTGCTATAAAGTAAATTTTGAGGACCAAAATAATTATATCCATTTTAAACAATAACTCTGGCATGATTATACAATGGTTCATCCTTGTTCACAGCAGCATTACTTTCTGCTATTTTTCTAATGAAATCAAAACTAAAGATCATCTCATTAAAACAATAGAAGTTCATTAATCTAGCACCTATAGAACCAGTGTAGTACAGGATTATTGAAAATGCTGAATTACTGGATGTTTTTGTAATTTTTCCAAAAACCAATAAGTTATATGAAATGTGAATGTTGCAAACATTGCTTTACATTTTGTAGCCAGTGCCGTCTTTAGGGCAGGGGCTACGGAGCCCTGGCCCAGGGCCCCCAGGCCATAGGGTCCTAATCCGAAAGTAATAAAGTTACAAATAAAAAAATAGGTTAATTAATACATATTAATTTAAATTTCAAAAACAATTTAATTTAAAAAGAAGCAAGTTATTGTGATAAGTAAAAATTTTGACAATAAGAAAGAGGGGGGTTAGTGTCTGATAATGTCATGTGATATGTTTCCCATGGCAACCCTCTGGAAAGAAAATTTTTTTTTATTTTTTTTTGGCTAGAAATCGCATGTTTCCTATTCCTTTTCGATATTGCTACTGCAGAAACCTTTCTGCACCATACAACAGTATATCAGAGAATATACAGAGCCTGAGGGGTTTTCAACAACAACGTTGAAGACATCTTTGTATTTTTCTTAACATATTTCAAAATCACTTCACTCGATACAATTCTTAATAACTTTAAATTACTATTTGTAAATTCTTTAAAAAATATTTTTAAAAAAATAAATAAAAAATTGTTTTTCTTCTTTACACAAATCCTTTCTATCCATTCCAATGTTAATTTTCATGATAACTGGTCAATTTTCTTAGTGTTTAGTAGGAAATTTATGCTTTAATTAAACGTGTTCTATAGAATATTTTATTTTAAATATTTTAATATATAAAATTCTAATGGAATTAAGTAAAAAAAAAACAATTTTTATAGAAGAATCTTCAGTTTCTGGGATTCAAAACTNAATTTACAGAGAGTCTTAAATTTAATTTTTGCATTTTTGAATCAAATAATAAAATACCAACAAATAAAGCATTTTCAGAATTTCAAGAGTATTTTACATCTTTAGAAAGAAGACAAAATGAAGAAATTAAACATATAATCATAGTTTTTGATGTAATGCTGATAGTTTCACAGTTTTAGAATAAAAACTCATTTGTTTTTATGTGACATAACTCGTTCATTTTTTTTAATGTGCTCTCTATAGAGGAATGTATAACCTCACTCAAACCGACATGCCTGTATTCCCTTGGGATAAACTGGCATGCCAGTTTTTATCATATGGAAATATCTGATTTCCTGGTTTTCCCTGGATAGACCTGCATGTCAATCATTCTGTGAAAATACAGTAGAATATCCTGTCATGGGCAAGCTTCTAGTTTTGATTTTAAGATTGTATTTACAGGATTCATAGGTGTTAGGAGATTTCGCTATGAGGCAAATTTTAAGAAAGAAAAAAGTTGAAGATGCAGATAAACATGATAAAATTAGTCAAAGATGCAGATAGTTTTTATTATATTGACTCCATGTGACTCCATATTGACTTATCTATGATGATCAAAGAGCATTATGTTTCAGCTACTAAAGGGATCTAGCTAACATCCCAATTTACTATTACAGTGGGCATTAGAATCAACAGTTCAAACAATGTGAAAAATCCCATTTTAATTATGGAAATTGACACTGTACTCTTAGCTTAGATTTATAGAGCAATTATATATTATATAATTTAGCATACTAAGTATACTAAAATAATTAACATTTATGATACACAAGATCTACATGTCACTTGGAGTTTGTTGCTAGATAACAGATTTTTCTACTTACTGGCAAAATCCATGTATGCACAGATATATCACATGCTTTTTAAATTATTTATTCTTAAATTACAGTTTTTATTTACTTTAACTGTTTATGAATATTTTAATTTTTATATTCAAAAGTAAAAAAATTAAACTTATAATTTGTATTTCATTTTTAATTATATTCTAAAATTTCAGTATAATTGTAAGTTATTCTAATGTTAACGGATAATTTTATGGTAGAAAAGTGTTTGCAATGCTATCATTGTCATTATACATTCAAATTATATTTAGATGAAATGTATTTTCATGTGTAAAGTTTTTAATTTTGTAATATTAAGCATAACTTATATCAGTTTGTATCTATGTATTAAAAATACTAAGTTATGTGCTTAATATTAAAAAAAAATCTTATCTGATACTGGTTCTGATAGCTGAGTGTAAATTTTCAGCTACTATAGAGGTCTGTGAGAGTCAGCTATCTGGTCTCTCTAATCTGTGAATTTTATACTCTTTTAAAATTACATTTAAATTCTACTTGAGGAATTAATGCAACTAAATTAATCTGAAAGTATTTCTTTTTTAATGAATACTTTATTTTCTGTAACAGTTTGTTTTGGAATTTTGAATATGGTAACGAGTTTCTTCAATTCTTCAAAAAAATTATAACATAAAGTACATTATTTTAGTATATTTATGTACACTATGTAATCTTTATTAAATTAACACTTAAAAGAATTAGCAATATTTTAAAAAAATGCTATTTCATTTATTTTTATAATCAAAGCTGATGGTTATTTAAATGTAAATGCAAATAATTTTTTTGCAGGAGAGCTGAAATGACAATGAGTGGAAAAGTCAGAGTCCGAGTTGAAGTTTTTGGTAAAGGTCAGTTTGTGGGCATTGGAAGAAATAAGCGTATTGCAAAATGTACTGCAGCTAAAAGGGCTTTAAGAGAACTAAAAAAAATGAAAAAAGCAAAATCTTGGAAAAGCTTTTGAAGATTGTAGATAGCAAAAAGTTAAATTATGTATCCATCATTGTTCATGTTTTATAATGAAAAAAATATATATATTAGAATTTGCCACTGAAATATAATATAAAAATTTAATATTCCAAAAAGTAATTTTAATTGCTAAATTTTCAAATAGTGAAAAATTAATTATATTGCAGAAATATTAGTACATTTACTATAAATAGACTTTTAGGAATTGTTATTTTTTTAATGTTCCTAGTATATTTATAAGTAGGTCATTGATTATTCATATTGGATTTTCAAAAAGAAATTTATTCACTTGTTTAATGAAAATGATTTTCTTGTTAATACATTCATAATGGTAAAGTTGTGTAATGTAAAAAGTTTTTATATTCTTTTGTTAAAGTTTCCTTAAAAAAATAATAAAATATAGTCAGAATTGTTAATATTTAAAATACAACTTTTTAATTTTTTTTATAGCTACTTTATATTTAAATTTAATGTGATTTGTTTGATAGAGTGTGACTTATTTAATTTGAAAATTATTGTCAGTCTTAACAGTGACCACATAAACTGATGAGATGTAGAGTAATCACTTGTTTGTTTATGAACATATTTTTTTAAAATAAATATCATTGTTTGATACAGAAACTAAAAAAAGAAACCGTTAGCTTTTTTAATGATTATGTATAAGATCATGACTAATAAACTTTCAATTTGCACAAATTGTTAATTGAAAACTGATGATGATGCAATTGTTCTTCTAGAGTTGAGATAAGAATCAGCATATGCTAGAAAAAATATATTGTATATAGTTTTTATATCTGTGAATATTATACATTTTTATCCTGATTTTTTAAAAATTTGCTCACATTATTTTGCTCAGTTCTTCATCAATCTTATATTAAGAAATGTATTATATAGCAGTCTGTATAAAAATTGAAATGATTTATTCTGTGAAAAGTATCATATATCTAAGAGAATAAAAGATAGAACTATTAACTGTGAAATATTTTTCATAGAATAACTAAACTCATTTGAAGAGGGCTATAAAATGTGTTAACTTATTTTAGATAGATATACTATACAATACAATACAAATAGGACAAAATCAACACTAAGTAACTAATTTTAATTACAGAAAGGTCTTGTTTTATATGGGATTGATTTATGGATTTGTTTTTGTGGATGATCAATAGTTAGGTTAATCCACTCCTAGTGCCAATGAATCTGTCAGCACACCATACTTCTCCAGTGGTGTCATCATACTTTCCATGGGTGTAAATAAATAAAGGACATATTCCCCCAATATTTTTGTACCAGTGAATTATCCTCCATTTATTTTTTATAGCCACTGAAAGCCTAGCAAAGAGAAATGTTTTACTTGTTATTGGCCTAATCCCCAGTATAGCTAATGCCAGCTATGGACATTCCAAACATAAAGAATTATTGAATGCTATGGTGAACACTTGTTTGCATGTATTTTTTTTTTTTTTTTTTTAAATAAAGTAGTAAATTTGTGTGAGTCCCTGGATCATGAGATCCAAGATACTCACTGTAACATCCTGGCTCCCATATTTCTGTTGGATCAGCATTCTTGACAGAAAATTTAAGGAGAACATAGTTTTTGAAAGCAACAACTGCCATTGAGAAATATACATGCAACATGATTTAAACATTGAAGGTCTCAAGATATCTCTGGTTGGGATTGATTGTGATGTCATTAGTATCCATATTTTTGCTTACATATTCAGTTCAGAAGTATTAATAAATACAAATGCTAATAAGAAATATGACAATTTCTAGCAACATTAATGTTGTCAAGGCTGATATTTCAAATGTAATGTTACAGTTAGAATTACTTGATTCCAAATAAAATGAAGATGATCTCATTATGAATATGATTGTTGAAAATATGAAAGAAGAAAAAAGCAAGATCCATAAAAAAGATAGGTACATATCTTCAACAAAAGTTTCTAATAAGTCTAAAATACTGTTTAAAAATCACTTGGATTATAAAAAATCCAAGTGATTTTTAAACAGTATTTTAGACTTATTAAGAAAACTTTTGAAAGGCTTCTTAAAAAAAATAAGGCAGTGTTAGATACAAAAAAATTGCTGATGCTGGAAGATGGTCTATATCTTCTCAAAAGTTTTCAGTTTTTATGTTGCTTATGGACATTGGCAAATCAAGAATCATTCAGGTTGGATTATAATAAATGAAATCAGATTTAGTATATACAAGTATAGTAGACTTAAGGCGGCTATACACGATGGGTTAATCCTCAAAGGAGTAACCATGCATGCCTGATTTTGAGTCATTCCTGGAAGTGTGTGGGGGAAAATTTAACAGTTTCGGCAAACTGTACCGACCACCTGAGTAGAATCGCCCATATTCATTAGGTTAATTCTCAAAGGAGTAATCATGCATGCCTGACCTTTATAATAATTGGTAGTTATGTGCCTCAGACACAGAGACTTAGTGCGGGAATTGCAGAACTTCACACGGAGAATATTGTCGTGAAAGGGATACGAGTTGTAATCCTGGTATTGTAACCAAGTGTACTAAGTTTAAGGCAAGAGCCTTTTGTTTATATTTGTTATTTTATTTTATTTATTGTTATAATTGTACAAGATATACAAGATAAATTGAATAAAGAAAAGTCTCCCTTGTTATACGGATAGTGGGACAAGGGTGATGCTGATCCCCATTGGGGAAATGATGATTACCAAAATGAAAAAAAAAAAAAAATGAAAAAAATAATTGGTAGTTTATGAGGGACAATTTAACAGCTTCGGCGACCTGTACTGACCACCTGAGTAGAATTGAAAAACCATTTGATTTTCCTGGCGCAGTGTCAGACTGCGCAGGCCGACCTAAACGTGTGTGAGAACAATGTCTCGTGAATGTTTGGAAGAATTATTTTCTATAACCTTATTAACTTTTATTATTTATAACCTAATAAATTAATTTTTCAGGTTATAAATTATTTTCGGATCAAAAATTTCTTGAGTAAATTAAAATTATAAATAATTTTAATATTTAGAAAACTTCTCAATTCATTTCTTCCGTTTTCATAAAACATCTTGATACTCTATATCATTTTCTTTTACATTTTAAAAAATTTATTGTTTTAATATCCAAGTAAATTAAAACATGACAACTTAAAATAAGACAAAGTTTAATAAATTCTTTTTAATTATTAAATTATAAAATTAATTTGTGATAATAACGTTTACAATTTGTACTAATATCGAATGTGGTTGAGAATTATTAATATATATTCGTCTATAAAATTTAATCCATGAATTTTTTTGGTAGTAAAATCGACTTGCCATTGTCTTTCGCTGATAATTGATGCTTTTTAACAGAATCTATAGCCCAAGATTTCTCTTGAAAAATTAATTTTGTGATCTGAAATAATTCCATTAAAAAATTATTCATATGAAAAATTAATTTTGTGATCAGTGCTACCCAAACCACTACTACTACTATTTACACCATAGACTTCTATGCATACTTTTTTCCTGCGAGTTTTAATAGAATTTGTTGCCAATAAACATCAGTGGCGTAATAATAAACACAATGACGTAGCGAACATAACTGGCACCTGGGCCGCGACACTATATTGGCGCCCTTACACACACACACACAATGTGATTGGTTTACCTGGTGAACAGGTACAACAATGTTCCTTCATGAAACAGTGGTCACAGACCAATGCTTTGTGCATTTAATATTTTGAGCACTGACCCTGAATGACAATAATAATGTTAAAAAATAAAATAGGCAAGGTTCAGTACTGAACCCATTTTTAAGACATTCAGGTTTTAAAAATGGGTTGACTGAATTACAGAAACAAAATGTCCATTTATTATTATTATTAATAATAATAAAATATTTATTTGATTATATTGATATACTGTAATTTCTATATGAATAGCATTTTATAATGGTATAACTTATTTAAAATCCAAAAATAATTGGCATTAAATACAAAACATTTTTTTTCTTTATGGGCATTGGTGATCATTTTGATTAATGTGTCTTGATGCACACTGCATGGAATATTTTAAATAAGGTTGATTCTCTCATAGTTTTAAATGAAAATAAAAACTAATCTTTTAGCCATCATAACAAGATACTGAAAACAATAAAATTTTTTTTATATTCAGTCTGGTTTCCCTGGAATAAATTGTAGGGTTGTATTGATGGAAAGCACATGTGGCACCAACAGAAAAAGTAGCAGTTTACTTCAATAGAAATAAGTATAACTCTGTCATCCTACAACAATTTGTAATAAGAAAATTGCATTTTTAGTACTTCTTTGGATACTGCACTTGTATTAAATAACCACGCCACAAAAAAAAACCTTAAAATGCAGTCATACTTTTTAATCTAATGTTTTTGGTCTTTTTTTTCCATTCATTTTCAACAAAAACCATCATTCAATTGGTATTTTTATTCTGAAGGATGATAAAAATGACTGAAAACATTAGAAGATTAAAAAGTATAACTATACTTTAAGGTTTTTTTTCATGGTGTGGTATTTTTAGACTGTTATATAGCTAAAGCAGGGTCATGCAGCATGCTTGTGTTTTATGACAGTCAACATTGCATGAAAGGGTAAATGTTGGTAATAGATTTTTCAGTTAGTCATATTTTGGATGATAGTGCCTACCTATTATCTGAGTTTTGCTTATGCCATATCAAGATAACGAAAATCTCAACATCATGAAAATAATATATAATATAAATTGCACATATTGTTGGAAGATTCAGGTGGATAGAGTTTTAGACATGTAAAATGGACTTGGTTGTAAAATGTTTATTGTTGTGTGCATTCTGCATAATATTTGTATACAAAGTTGTGATGTGACAGAAGTTCATTTTGATGATGATGAAAGTGAAGAAACCACAATGCACCCTATTGTAAGAAAAGCTACAACAAAGCATGATGACATTGCAAATGGAATATTTGTTAATCTTAAACAAAGTTATTGAGAATATTTGGTCAGTTAAACATTTAGATGAGTGTTTTACAATTTAAAATATTTGTTTCATTAACACAGTTGATATATTTCTTTGAACAAAATTAGAAATATTTATACTGTATTTATATAAAAGATTCTTTGTATGATTTTGTTCAAATTTTATTACATGTATAGTGTAAATAAGTGTGTATATCTTTTCACTATTTAATTAATACAATTTCATTGTGTAATTTAAAATTAATATTTTTTATATACATTATGATGTATTGCTTTGAAAATACTAGAAGTATTTAATTTTAGAAATTCCTAAAATGCAACTAATTGAAATGAATTATTAAAATGATTTTTTTGTTTTGGAGAAGTCATTTTCCATGCATATAAATGAAAATTTATTCAAGTAAACAAATACAGTACAGTATAAACTTTTATATATAATTTTGACTTGTTATTAATG